CTCTATATTTTGCAGAGAACCTTATCATAAATTACACAGATTTGAGAAGTTGCTTAAGATATTACAAGAAAATCTTTAATATTATCAGATTCTATATAATATGCAAGAGCTCTTCTGTATTCAAAACACTTAATCAATCTTATAATACCATTGACTTTAAAATAATTAACTTATCTAACAAACATATAAAAGAACTTCATAATAACAGTTACAATGATCTGATAGCATTCAGAATCAAATTATTTTTGGGTATCCTTTCTATACGAGAATTTTTCTACAACCTATATTCTGAACACTACAAAAACCAATACTGTTCCAGATACAGTTTTTGATCAGAAACTATCTTTTATATTCTCAACTGTTCTAAAGCAAAAAAAGAAGCCAAGCAAATCATCAGCTCAATTAATGTTATTTTCTATCCAGACAATAGCAACAACTCAATTTCCAATACACAATAAATAATGAAATTAGTATATGGAATCACTGCAAATATATTTTTCTATAGTCAACATCCATAACTGAATCAAAGTATTTACTGAAGCCCTCACAATGTTTTATAATCTCATATGAAAACCCTGTTGTAGCACAACAAATACTTCACCATCCACTAGTATCAAATAGAACAAAACAATAAAAACAAATAATAATAAAACTAGCAATAATAGCAAAAATAATCACAATTCCAATGCAAGCACTTCAAAAATCAACTCTACTTTTCATATCAACATTAGTTTAAATCTTTAAAATAGTAATATAACAGTCAATATTTCTATATTAGTTGCAGAAATATTTATCCAAAATAATCTTAACTTTTCATCATGTATTTCTAATCTTATTTCAAATTATTATAATTTTATCTTTCAAAATAGCTTTGAGTAGGCATATATAGTTGCTTGGCATTATTTGATTAATATATTAGTTTTAAAATATCTTTTTTAGTAGAAGTTAAATGATTATTGTAGACAGGCTAGCATTAAATTTATTGCAAATTGCATATAAGAGATGTTATTCCTTTCCAAATGTATATCTTGTAATATATAAATAAATAAAGAAATAATATTTATCTACTCAAAAAAAAAAATAATAATAATCTAATGAGTTTATTATTAATTAATTTACCCAAGTGATTATAATTTAACCCTGATGCCCAACCTATTTGCAAGTAATCTGGATAATATTTATATGAATTAAAACATTATGCTAAAGTATTTATTTATATAAATATTAATATATTTGAATATTTTGATAAAAATAATATCTATATCTTAACTTATATTTTTATTATTATATATAGTATACTTATTATAAATAAAATATTATATCTCAAACATTTATATAAAGTTTTCAATTTTATCTAGAAATTGACAAGATTGAACTTCTATTTTATTGAATAAATAAATTAATCTTTATCAAAAAAAATCATTATTGCCTTTTTTTGTTTAATCTTATATATCTCAAAATTATACTAATTTTGATATACTGTATCTTAGAAACTTTGGCACATCATATTGTGGCGGTGTAACGGCGAGTCAGTCGCTAAGGCAGACAAGGTTTCGCGTAACCACAGATAGGATTAGTTATATTTAAGGTGAAGGAGGCGTGTTTAGATTTGGTCGAGTAATTTATTGTTTTTAACGGGTCTTGTCTCCTTTATTAAAGCTTATCTCTTTCTTTTTATACATTTCTCTTTATTTACAGAGGCTAGTGCGGCTATACTTTTCTAACAATAGATAAGCTAAGTCTTTTATTACATAAGTCCCTTCTCACAATTACTTCCTTCTTTTTCCCCACATTAGGTAAGCGTGCATCGCCATCTAAGAATGGGTTTTCCGTGATACTCTTCGTGACTATCAGTCACGTGATATACGTCGCGTCTCAACTTACCCCCTTACAATATTAATTCTTTCAAATAAAATATCTCCCTATTACTAGTTTTTTGTTTTTATTTTTTTCTTAAGATAGAAATAATATATGACAATATATATTTAAAAGAATTTTTTTTTACATATTATAATGGATAAACAGTAAATTTATTACTAATATTAATAGAAACTTATATAATTATTATGAATAATTTAAGGTAATAAATAAGTAATTTGAAACATATGATTTGATCAAATTTTTTACATTTTTTTTTACTGCTCGTACTGTTTTATCCTTTATTAATAATATTATCTTACTTATTTATATAATTTTCTAAAAGATTAAAATCTATAGAATATTTTAAGTTTAAGTATAAATTATTCACAATATGTTTTTTTATTGTTTGTTATTAATTAATCATTATTATTACATATTGATGCTTAATTATACTTTGGTTAAAATTAGTCACATGACTCTCATTATATTTTTGACTATTTGATTTTACCTCTTACAATATTATATAAAATTTATATCAAATGATTAATAATAAACATATAAAATTATTCTATATATTTATATTAATATAATATAACAAAATTATTATTATTTTTTAATTTTTATAATTTTTAAATATAATTAAAAATTTATAAGTATCAAGTATTTTAATAACTAATTATCATTATACTGTATAGATTCAATCTTTTATACTTATTTTTTTATTCTTGGATTTGAAAATAATAAAATTTTTTATATATGTTTTCATTTTTTATATACTGTTGACGTCTCTCTCGGTGAGTCTGTCGCTAATCTTGGGTCAGAACTCGCGTAACGATGGCGTCAGGTAAGTCTTTTTAGGTTCCTTCTCTACTCGAGGCGTGTGGTTTGGCGTGGCCAGACTCTTTTTACTAATACAACTTTTCCTTCTTGTTCCGTCGTCATGCTTATTGGACAAACTCTCCACTTTTTCCTTTCATGGTCCTGGTCGTCCCTCTCACTTCGCGACGAGTACTGGATTAGGTAAGTTAATTAGGGGGTTATCCATGTTTAGCAACGACAATCGTACGTCTTAATTAGGAAGATTTTATTTTAAAGAATGGTTTCGTTTTTTAACTGGTTCGTGGTTTTCTCTTTTTTTTTTTTTATATAAGAGCCACCTCTATTTATATTAGAGTGTCATATCTCTTTTTCCTATCGTTGTGTCATTTAACTTTTCTAAACTATCATAAACTATAGTAATTAATAATCAATGTGACAATGGCTAATTAAGCTTTCTCAATTACACCATAATTTTACGTGCTACTATAGACTATCGATCTTTAATTATCGATAATCGGGACACGCGATGCCCCAGATCGCGTTATGCGACCATGCCTCATACTATTTTCCCGCCAACAATACATATAATAATAAACAGACTTATTAATAAAAATTAATGCAAAAAATATATGTTATTTTTAACGAAAAATAATAATTAAGATGTTGTGTTTATTGTAAAACTATATATTATATTCTTTTATTTATTCTGTATTAGTAAAAAATTTCCCTTATATTGTTATATTGTTTAAGAAAAAACAATTGGAATTAATGAGAGCAAAGAAGATAATTGGATGATACAAGTGATTAAGATGATAGAGATAATTGGAATAATGATAAAAAATATAAATATACTTGGTGTAGGACACTAATAAAGGTAACAAACGTGTGCTCCCATTAAGTGTTAAAGTTTTTTTGCGCAGTGTCACGTGACCGATGGTATTGCCTACCAGTGAGACAAACTCTCCATACAGCGATATAGTGCAAAGCGAGCCTGTTTAGATGTCGCATGACGTGATTTTTGGGCAAGCGACAGACTCGCCGTTTTCCATATCGGCATAGCCCATTCGTATGATCAAGATTTATGTACTTTGTTTCACAACTTACTTTGCATAAAACCTTGATTACATATCAGTTTGCATAATTTTCGGGTTCACATGTTATTTTAAAAATGTCAAGAGATTGCAGTATTTACGGAAAATTTACTTGGTAATATTGAAATTTTATGGTAAATTATATAACACAGAAGATATCAAGGGCACTATTTTTCTGAACAGGGGTTTAGTTTATAGAACAGAGTTAACCTGTAATCGTTTTTCGTCCAATCATTATAAGATTGTTCTGTACAAAATTCTATATACAACTTTCATTTATGCAAATGCAAATTCGCATACTGTACTCAGTGGCCAGTAAAAATACAATAATGATCATATCTGCAATTGAAAAACTTATGACCGTTATATAAATAGTTTGCAATTAAACGTTAAACAATTTCATTATTATGGGAAATACAATAAAAAAGAAAAGCACGAAAGATTCGACAGAAGCCGAACAAACAACTTCAACATTTAATTTCCGACATATTGATGGAAGGAGATATCATAATGTCGAGGGTGCAGGGTATTATCTTCCTAACGACTATGATGAATTAGATCGATTGCATTTACAACATTTCGTATACAAACACATATATAAGAGTAATTTTTTTGCTCCCGTTGAAGACATTTTAGAAATAAGTGGCTCAAAGGTTCTTGACGTTGGGTAATATAGTATTTTAATAACGTTATAGCGAATATTTTCTAAACCAATATTACGATTAATTCTTATTTAACAAAAGCTGTGGTGCAGGTTCCTGGATGTTTGATATGGCGACGGACTATCCAAACGCTGAAATAATAGGAGTCGATATCTCTCCTATTCAGCCAACCGAAATAAAACCTACAAATGTCTCCGTTGTTTATGCGAATGTTTTAAATGGATTACCCTTTGAAGATAACACTTTCGATTTTGTATTTCAACGTTTAATGATTGGTGCAATTCCTCTGGATCGTTGGTCTGATGTTATTAGAGAATTAACTAGAGTTTTAAAGCCAGGAGGTTACCTAGAGGTATATATTATATCGTGATTTGAAATTTGTATATTTATTACAAGTTAATAATTTTATTACTTTACTCTTAAAGTTATCAGAATCATGTTTGGGTGGTCATAGATTGGGACCCGTTTCGACTCAAGTGCTTGATTCAAGTAAGATACTATCAGTGAATGCTAAAATTTATGCTTAAAGTATTGATTTGATTTAAATACTGTACATGTAGTTATTAAAATGCAAACGACTCGAAATCTTGACAAGGATATATGCTACAAGATACGATCATTATTGGAAAAAAATAATCAACTCGAAGAAATCAACGAGGAAAAAAATTTGATGTGTTTTAATACAAAAGATAGCAAACTAGGGAAAGCGGTAAATGGATTTGATATTTACACTCAAAATTTTGATAATTTTCCTAATTCAAAAAATTGCTGTGTAGGCTGTAGATAATCTCAAGACTGCATTTTGTAACTTAAAACCCGTATGTATGCCAATTTTGGAAGTATCCTCAGAAGAATTTGATGAAATGGTTGAAACAAGTGCTAAAGAGTTGGAAGATAACAGCAGCTATTTCGATCTAGTTCGTGCTTATGGGCGTAAGAAGGGAAATATTTGACTTCATATTATACAATATATGAACTTATATTTTTATAATAACTCTACTAAATTTCCCTATGAACTTAAATCATATATTATTAACTTTCTAAGTTCTTCGTATAAACTTAAGATCTTATATTATATTAACTTTTTAAATTCTTTTGTGCGGAATTTTTTCTTTCATATTCGGCCAATACAAGGCAAGGATAATTATTTTCTATATACAGTATAACTTCTGGTTATTAGTAAGATTCTCTTTATGATTTAAATAAGCCTTAAATTAAGTTTAAATAACTTCCAAAGTAGATAGGTTCGGGTTAGATAAATCAAATAGTAATACCATGTACTGTGGCGCATACCGGCTTTTATATTCTACGACGTTTATTTTTTGCATTGATTATTTTATAAAATAAATGTATGTCAATTAAATTTATATTAGGAAAGGTGCAAGAGGGAAATAAAAGTTGACTGACTATTCATGTGACCAATCAGTTCCCAATGTAACGCGAAATAAAATTCGCACGCTTCCCTTGCTTATCTAATACAGCGGGAAAGAATGTGGATTATGTAATCAGAACATGTAGAATGTTAGAATCTTTGTACTATTATGAAATGATTTGGCGGATAAATGTATAAAAGAACAATTAAAAATTCAAATAATGTTAAGATGTGGCGAGTAAAAATCCCATTCAAATTGAATTCACTTCATACTATACATCGTAAGATGGAACAAAGTGACGCGACTTCTGTCACGTGATCGAATGTCGCGAAGGCGTGATAGCTTCGTGATAGAAAATTATGTAACAAATGAGAGATTGTGATTGATCGTTAAAGAGCTTGTGAACGTAAATTATATAATATAAAAAGGGAATTGTGAAAACAATTAGTCACGTAAACCATTGAGATCAGGTATATGTAATAGAGGAGATTGTGAAAGTACCTCAAGTAATTAATGTTACCATGTCTTTAAGAGTAAAAGTCGTCCCAACGCATGTGCAAAGTAACTGTATAAAAGAGAAGCGAGTAAAAGTTAATAAAAATCAGTGAATTATATTTACTCGCTCCAGATCAGAATCAATCTGCTTCATAGTACTTGGAAATACTTACCCTATCGACAGTTACGCAATTCTGCCAATTTTAGCCGATCTACTGTCACAACTATTTTTTAGCAAGATTATCAGTACAGTGACATTATCCAATTGATGTTTGAAGGATTTATGGTATTTTTAAAAGAAATGTACAAGCAACAAAAAGTACAATAAAATATTCTTTTATCTAAACATTTACTACATTTTCTAACACATTTACTCACATTCAAATGCTTCTTTGACATTACATAATTAGCAATCATGAAATAGCAACAGATTCACCAATTTTATCCAAACACTATATTCAAAATTTTTATTTTATTAAATGTTATTTAAATTTATAATATATTTTTACAAATACAATATATAAATTTATAATAAAAATATCAATTAAACCATATTACTGTATATATTGACCTATTTGTAAAAAATATATTATAAAAACCTTATACATAAAAAAAATTTTTTTTATTATATATTACCTATTTTAAAATATTATGAAAAATTATTTATTTGTTTTTTTTTATATAAAATTAGTACACATTATTTATTAAATATTTGCAGAAAACAAAAGACATATATTATATTATATTATACAAACTATTATATTGATCTGAGTATCTATCTTTGACTAATGTCTCTAAGTGTAACTTTGTAGATAAAAAAGGTTGCTCTTTTAAATATCTATTCATCTATAAAATTCAAAGTTAAAAATTATTGCTTTCATAAAAATTATTTATAAAAATTATAAAATTATTTAATAATATACAGTATATTAGACTACCATATATTTTATATCAAAAATAAAAATATATATTTATTATTAATTTATAATTGACTTTTATCATTATTTTTAATTATCAACTTATATTTTTTTTTAACTTTAATACTATTTTAATTAAAAAACTTTAAATAATTTTGTTTTTATATAATAGTTTAAAATTTTTAGTAAAATTCAAATTCAAATTATTAAAAAATTAATCTACAATATTTTAAAAAAATTTATTTAAGTTTAATAAAATTTATATTATATTTAAAATATTATTTTACTAAAAAATAATAATTGTTTTTATATATAATAATTTTTTAATCTATTTTTTTATAATTTTGTAAAATATCAATATAAAATTTATATATTTAAAAAAATTTTCTTAATAAAATATAAATAAAATATAAAAAATTTCTTATAATTTTATTAATAGAAAATTATTTTTATATTGATAAATTAAAAAGATCTTAAATCATATATTATTTTTATAATATTGAAATATAATAAATTGCATAATATTAAAATAGATATTTAAATTTAATATAAATCAAGCAAGTATATATAGAATTATTATTTTTTAAATTAAAAATACTTGTTTAATAATTTAATAATTTCTTTTCTTTATTTATATATTATGTTTTCTTATGTATTGTATTTTTAATATTTTATTCAATGTTTTAAAAATTTAATTATTTTCTAATTTTATTATTTTCAGTTAAGTTATAGTATTATTTTTATTATTCAATTTTTTTAAAAAAAAACAATAAAAAAATTTATTATAAGTTTTATAAAATCAAATAAACATATATATATATTAAAATTTTAATTCAATATACATTTATTTAAACAAGTATTTTTTTGTAAAAAAATTCATTTATAAATTTTTTATAAATAAAATAAATGTAAAATTAAAATAATAATAATAAATTAATTAAAGTTTACTTTTCTTAATTAAAAATACCTTACAAAATTTTTTGTATCAATTAATTATATGAAATGTATTTAAAAAAATTATAATAATAAAAACAAAAAAAAACAAAAACAAAAAATAGCAAAGCAATCTTTAATTAAAAAATATTATATAAAAAAAATCAACAAATTATTAATTAAAATAGAAAAAATATAATTTTATTACTTGTACAATAACAATACTAATAAAGTCTTAGTATGATAATTTTAATATATATTTAAAATAAGTTAATAGCAACAAGTTAATATAAAAGTAATTTGATATAGCATAACCCATATCTAAAATAGTTTATAAATAGTGATTTTTGTAAAAAAAAAAAGATATAAATATAAATAAAATAAAATACATTAAGCAAAAGGTTTGATTAGTTGAGAAAAAAATATTTTTTAATATATTATATTTTAATTGAAATTATTGTTTTTTATTATTATAAAAAACATTGCTAAAAATCTATTAATGTTAATTAACTATTAAAAAAAATAATTATAAAAATCATAATATTAATAAAATCGATAATACCATTATTAATATCAAGGAAATTAATCATGATACAATATTTTATATTATTAGATATATTATTAGTAGGTTTGTCACTATATCATGATTACCGATCATGTAATATTAGAATTATGTTTAGACTTGAGATAAGTGAATGTACAGTATATGGCTAATTCTTTTTGAAAACGACAAAAATGTTATATACGATTTTTTGATCCCTATTTTTTGAACAATACATATACAATATAAATTCTAGGAGTACAATTATAAAGTCAGAAAAATCCCTGTCCGCCTTCAAAAAGAATTACCCATATAAGATAATATGATTAATTAAAAAAACGTTATTTGTCTATTTCTTTCACCTTATAAGTTATATATATACTGTATATATTTCAAATATCCCTAAAATCCCATGTATATTATTCTTATTTCTTATATCCTAACCAACTCTTTTATAGATCTAATTATTCCCTAGAGCAATATTGATTTCGCGAGACTTAATTAAATTTGTTACGCATCGATCACTATTGTCGATCGCGTGACTCCTACAAAGTGCCACATGTTGTCATACAAAGAAATAACAATATTCGTTATCTTCTATTTACAATACTTTTATTAAAAACCTACAAATTTTTCTGTCATATGTGTGAATAATTCAACTGAATTGTTCTTTAAAGGCAACACCTTTGACTTTGGATTTCAACGTTTAATGATAGATGAAATTCCTTCAGATTGTTACTAGAGTTCTAAAAACTCTAGTGGTTAGCATTTAATAAAGGATAAGAGAGTGTTGACTACAATTTAAATCGGGAAAAATACTTACTTGACCAAATCGAACGCCTCGCCCAAATCCAATCCTTTCTTTAACCTTGACACTGTTACACGAGTTCTGCTACTAATTAGTGACAGACTCGCCGATTCGCCGCCCACAATACCTTTGACCCTGCATAATCCAAGTTCCACGTTTGCAATGTTATAATTCTTTTTTTATTTAAACTTAACTCTTAAATTTATTATTAGTCTTTATGCACGCATTTAATTTTCCAAAGTCACGGGTTTCAAGCCAAACATTTTATATGAATTTTGCGCAACAAACAGTTTCCCGGAGTGATTCGAGTCCCATTTTATGATTTGAAATTAATCTTAAACACATTATCAATGTTAAAAACTTATACGGTATATTTTTCATTCATGTAAAATAAATTTCTAGTTTAATAGCTGTGCTTCAAAGATCAAACCACTTTTTTTTTTTTAAAAAAAAACATTTAAGCCTGTTTTGATTTCTTTATCGCTGTCATACGTGACCGAAAATAGTAAAATGGCAAAAGAATAAAGAGACTGATGAACGTTACATGACGCACTAGGTGCTTTTAAAATTTACCCGAAAACAATTCCAAAAATTGGAAAGAGATCTTTTCGCCAAGGATTAAAAAAAATAATGAAAAGATTATCTAGTTGGATTAATAAATAACGGGTCAAATTTACATGTGAAATTTAATGTAATTTGCCTCTAATATCGTCAGTACGCAAGGCTTACCCAAAAACTCGCAAAATGAAATTATTTTGTGATCTACGCAATTACAGTTTCGTGAACCAGTTAAAGATACAATTTGCGGCTGCAGAAAACTATCATGATTTTCTAATAAAACACCTGTAAAACATTGCATTGGTGATACCAAAACTATATAAAACATTCGATTTCAACTTATTGAAAGCGTCGCAATAAAATTAGAAATATGGGAAATTCACCCAAAAAACTAAGCAAGAGCAATTCGACATCCTCAACTTTACAATCTACTTTTCGACACATTGATGGAAGGAGATACCACAATGATGTGAACTCAACGTATTATCTTCCAAACGACTACGAAGAATTAGATCGATTGCATTTACAACATTTCTTATATAGACACATCTACAAGAGCAATTTTTTTGCTCCAGTTGATCATGTCTTGGATAAGAATGGTTCGAAGGTCCTCGATGTTGGGTAAGATATATAATAAATCTATGACGAATATTCATAAAAGAGAACACCAAAAATTAAATTTATTTTTGCGAAAGCTGTGGTGCAGGTTCCTGGATATTTGATATGGCAACAGATTATCCAAATGCAGAAGTTACAGGAGTCGATATTTCTCCTATTCAACCCACTGATATCAAACCTGTAAACGTTTCTGTTATTTACGCGAATATCTTAAACGGATTGCCCTTTGATGATAACACCTTCGATTTTGTCTTTCAACGTTTAATGATTGGTGCGGTTCCTTTTGATCGTTGGCCTGATGTTATCGTAGAATTAACTAGAGTTTTAAAGCCTGGAGGTTATTTAGAGGTATTGATTACACGATAGTTTAAAAGGTACATTTATATATTAATTAAATTCTTTAACATCGTTGTTTTCTTAGCTATCAGAAATGAATCCGTTTGGTCATGGATTCGGACCTGTTTCAACTAAAATGTGGGGTGCCTGTAAGATATACAGTATAAATAGTGATATCAAAAATCATGTTTAAATATATTAATAATACACATGCTTGTAGTTGTCAAAAATCAATCAGCTCGAGGCCTTGACAATAACATAACCAATAGGTTACGATCGCTATTAGAACAAAATAGGCAATTAGAAGATATCCACGAAGAAAAGAATATGATGCGCTATAAAACCGAAGATGTAAAACTAGGAAAAGCGGTAATGAGTTTTATGCGGTATTATAAATTTCGATAATTTTGCTAATTGGCAAATCACTTTCTAGGCTGTTAGCAATACCATGTACGGATTTTACAGTATGAAATCCATATTGACGCCAATTATAGGAGCAACTTCGGAAGAATATGATAAGATGATCGATGTATTTGGCAAAGAGTTAGAAGATAATGACAGCTATCTCGACCTTTCTCGCGTTTATGGGCGTAAGAAGGAAAATATTTAACCTCACATCGTATATACAGTAAATTAAAATTTAATCTATGTTAATCTCCTTAAATTTATTCTATGCAGAATAATAACTTTTGTAGACGACTAAATGCATACCATTTGAAGGCAGCGTTGTTCATTTCTACCCTTTTAGTTTCATGGTTATTAATAAGATCTTTATGATTGAAGAATACTCTAGATAATATTTATGTATTTAAATTATGTCTAAGCAACTTTTAGAATAGGGCTTACATCAATCAAACAGTAACATCTCTATTTAAGATATTAAGATTTTATGTGACAAATAAGATTTTAGAATCAAATTCGAAAGAAAATAAACAAATTATTTATTTCAATTCAAACTATTGTAAAAGGGTAAGAAAACGATTAAGTGGCACACGCGATCCGATTAGGACATCTTTAGAATAATAACTAGTGTAACGGTGACCGGCGAGTCTGTCGCTAATGATAGTAAAGATTCGCGTAACGATTGTTAAGTGTTTTTGATAAGGGTGAGGCGGATTTGATGCTGGCCGAAAAAACCAATTTCTTTTTACATTTTTTTTTACATTTCATGTTATTACATGATTCAATGAATCGATTTATAGTGCCACGATCGATCCTTGCGACATGATCACGTGACAACAATCGCAATTATGTCGCAATTTAACTAACTTTATGACATTTTCCATTTTCTTTTTTATGTTAAGTTGGAATATATGGGATTTTAGGATTATTAGTAAGAGATATATATTCGACATGTAAAAAGAGAGAAAAAGAAAACAAACAAGAAATAAATAAAATTTTTCTGTTAAAACATTAAAACCATTTTATATGCACTCCCTCGCACCTGATCTTTCGACGTTACACGATCGACGATGGCGACGTACGCCGATTACACCCCAACAATATAATTGTATTGTTAATTTAGTTAGTTGTTATTAAAAAATATATTGAGTATTGAATTTAAATATTTCTTAACCTATTTGAGTTATTGTTTTTCAAAATCAAAAAATTTTTTCTAATAGCCAGAACGGTTATCTTTAATTTAGTTCAATTGTTATTATTAGCGTTATATTTAAAAATTTTGTTTACATATATATTCATATGATATACTTTAAGATCATATATAACGAGAATTTTATTTTTATTTTCTATTTTTCATTTGGTTTTAGAAAAACGACTCGATAAAGACTTTTAAGGCTCGTTGTTTTTTTTTAAAAAAATTTATTATTATTATTATTATTTATAAGAGGTGTATATTATAGTGATTCTCTATTAGTGTCCGTTACCTCCTTACTCTTTGAATAATAATTTGAAATTTTCATATAACTTTATTTGATATACAGCATGTAAAAGACTTCCATAAAACTTTGATAAGACTTTGGTCCCACATACTGTACATCTGCATTTCGTAACCTCTATTTCGGATAGTCCGAGTTTTACATATTGTAATTCCAATTATAGATTGAAAGCAATGTCATTTATAATGTACATTCAATGTAGATCCAAATAAATTTGACCATACAGCAGTTATCTGGCACGTATTCGGAAAACATTACGGATAACAGGGAGGTCTCACATATGTCGTACGTAGATGTTTTGTAACCAAACACAAGATAATCTCACGATGAATAAATATTCGATTTCACGATTTTGAACGGCGTCTTGGCATAATAGGAGAAATACGTAATCAAAAAACAACGCATGATAGATTCGACATTAACACAACAGATGATAACATTTAATTATGGGGTTCGAAATTCTATCTTCCAAATGATCATGAAGAATTAAATCGATTGCGTTTACAACATTTCCTGATAAGATAGAAATGGATTTATATTAAGTGAGGTAGTATCTTACTGATATTATTATGAATATTTCGTGAAGACAATATTGATTATCGAAAGTTAAAGTGCAGATTATTTGGTGTTTCACATGGGAACGGACCATCTAAACGCTGAAATCATCTTAATTTTATTATTTTTTTGCTACTCTTATCTTTATAATATCTTGTTGATGTTTAAGCTTTGATAATTATTAATCATGAAGGTAAAATTATAAGTTTAACAAAGTTTAAATTAAGATCTCGATAAAACAATTACATTGTAATTACTGTATTTTCCTTACCTAATTCGTCACGTGATTTCCCCTGCTACAGTAAAAATATATAATCAATTCTGTATATACATGTAAGTAAGAGTAAAAATTCAAACTACTTGTCAAAAATGTAAAAAATCGATTTATTATAATATTCGGGAAAAAAAAGAAGTAATTCTTTTAAATTTACTAATATTATTTATATGCACTTTTGATTTTTCCAAGGCCGGGATTTCATTCCGAATAAATATTGAGCAACTAAAGATTTTGATAACTAAATTAAAATTAGAATCAATAATAAAAATTAGATATAGAATTGTTTTAGAATTTTCTTTGCTTAATTATTTTTTAAAGTAGTTCAAGTTGTAATATAGTATACAGTATATACTAGTTTATATTTTTTATTAAGTTGGTTCTTTAATTATAAATAATAATGATAATATTTGTCCGAAGCGTAGCGTAGGACTACAGTACAGTATTAATTATCCTGCTGTTCCCATCACGTGATGCATTCTTTATTTGACATTTGACATTATTGGCTTCGTATTTACATTGGTTTCCGTTTCCTAGTTACTACTGTATATTGTTAATTCGTGAGTCGTGTGACCGGTAAAGAGTGAGGAGGAAGTTAGCATTACATGTCGTATGGTATAAGTACTGTTTGCGAGAAAGCGACTGCGAATTTGCGTTACGATCGAGGCGTGATAGATTTGGCGAGTTTGACAAGTAAGTGATACAATAATGAACAATGAGCGTTCGTAGGATTAGGTAAGCATAATGATTTTATTAACTAATTTTTTGGAGATGTCTCTTCTTTTTCGCATGATTTCGTCATATACCGAGGACACAGAAGATACCAAAGATATAAAGATACAGATGATACAATGGCGTGTCATGTAATAAATTTTTATGCCGTTTCGGTTTGCCCCCTTACGGCGCACCAATTCCCCCTATAACAATACGTATACAGAAGTACGTTTTTATAAACAATGTAAAAAAAAATATGTGAAAAAGGAAAAGAAACCTTATCAAGGATAAAAAAGAAAAGATCGATTGATTAGATTAGTAGACCACAAGTCAAATTTTGCATGTAATAATATAATATAATGGTCGAATTTTTCACTGGATATCGTCAGTATGCAACGTCTAATTACAAACTATATAAAACGAAGCGATTTGAGAGTACCGGATTAACGTTTAACAACATTTGATTGTACTGTACCGAATAAGGATTACACACGCAGAGCCAAGGATACATAAATTAAAGATCTGTGAAACACTGATAATGCCAGTATTATATAAATATTCTACGTACTTCGCAATTTAAAAGTTCCGTTATATAAGATTAGAAATATGGGAAACGTAACAAAACAACAAAGCAAAACCGATTCAAAAACAACAAAAGGACAAAAAAGTTTGCAATTTGGTTTTCGACATATTGATGGAAGGAGATATCATAATGATGCTAATTCAGAATACTATATCCCAAACGACTACGAGGAATTGGATCGATTGCATTTACAACATTTCTTATTTAGACACGTATACAATGGCAATTTTTTTGCCCCCGTTGAACATGTCTTAGATAAAGATGGTTCAAAGATTCTTGACGTTGGGTAAGATAGAATAATAATATAAAATCTCATTATAAAATTATTAAAATAAATAATTATTTCGTGAAAGTTGTGGTGCAGGTTCTTGGATGTTTGATATGGCAACGGATTATCCAAATGCAAAAATCATAGGAGTCGATATCTCTCCTATTCAACCTACTGAAATTAAACCTGCAAATGTCTCCGTTGAATATGCAAATGTTTTGACTGGATTACCTTTTGAAGATAACACCTTTGATTTTGTATTTCAACGTTTCATGATTGGTGCAATTCCTTCGGATCGTTGGTCTGATGTTATTACAGAATTAACTAGAGTTCTAAAACCCGGTGGCTACTTAGAGGTATTATTATACCGCGATTGAAAAACTACATCTACTATTAATTGAAATGCTTATTTATAACATCATTTTTCCTAGTTATCAGAACTTAATATGCTTGGTCACAGATTCGGGCCTGTTACGACTAAAATGTTTGATGCTCGTAAGATACAGTATATACTGTAAATCTGCAATATTTAAATATTACACGTAAAATATTAATCATACAAGTATTTTAAATGTAGTTGTTAAAATTCAATCAGCTCGAGGTTTTGCTAGTGACATAGGCCCTAAGCTATTCTCACTATTAAATCAAAATGAGCTACTCGAGGACATCCATGAAGAAAAAAATATACTGCGCTATAATACTGAAGATGGAAAACTAGGAAAAGCGGTACTGTAATAATTTTTGTGATATTTATAAAATGTTATAAATTTTTCAATTAGAAAATTCTTTTCTAGGCCGTTAGCAATTCCAAGTATGGATTTAGCAACATTAAATCCGTATTACTGCCAATTTTCGAAGTGACCTCGGAAGAATTTGACGAAATGATCGATGTATTAGGCAAAGAGCTAAATGATAATGAAAGTTATCTCGATGTTAATCGTGTTTATGGGCGTAAGAAGGAAAATATTTAACCATACATTATACAGTATATTAATTAAGTTTTAATGCAATATTAATTTTCTCTAAATTTTATTTTCTCAGAATATTGGCTTTCGTAGTCAACTAAATATATATAATTTGAAGATACTATCAGTTATTTTTATCATTATAGTTTCAAGGTTATTAATAAGATTTTTTATTTATGCTTGAAGGATTTTTCTAGATAAGCCGTTTATCTACTTAGCTATGCTTAAAACAACTTTAAAGAAAATAAGTCCGAGGTTATAGAAATCATCTTTTATGTACTACAATATACAGTATATTGTAAAATATTGTATATACAGTATATATTATTATTATACATGTACAGTATATATGAATATTTAAATTTTTTACAAATTTACTATTATTACTCAAATATAGTGAGTGCTATAGGAAAAAAGTGATGATTTCTCTCGCGATGATATATTGAGAATCGTGATGAGAATAGATGAGATAAAGAGGATAATTAGGATTATTGAAACATGTATAAATATACTTGACCTTCATTAAATAAAGGCAACAAATATGCTTATATTAGTGAGCAAGTGTAATCATCTGACGAATAAACTTTATCTGTATGATAAATCCCAGTGTATTCCATTTTCCCAATGTTATATTTTCGTTTCGCACGTGATCACATCAAATCCAGTTGCCTCTTTAACTTACAAGAATAAAATAGTGTTGGTGTTAATACAAACCATCAAGCTAAACAAGTGCAAAGTGGTCCTGCTTAGTTTCTATGTGACGTGTCATGACCAGACCTGTGTACAATCAACAGACTTGTTGTTTTCCACCATTACAATAATAATTACTATTTCAATAATTATTTTATGACTTTTAAATTCAAAAAATTCTACGATATTCCAAAATATTATATTGTTATTCTATTTTAATATAATAAAGGTTGAAAGTTTCAAATTAGAAAAAAATATTGGTTTATACTGATGATTCTTTTTCAAACCACATCTTTCTAAATTATTGTTTCATTAAATAAATATTATTGTAAAATAAATAAGTGACTTAGTTATAGTTTCAGTAGCCTATGTTATTGTAACTCCAGTTTATTTTTTTTTCTTTCAATTTTCCTTTACTTTCAAATTTCTCTACGTCTAATAAAAAAATTTTGAATAAGTAGGCATAGCTGCTATTCAGTTATATTTAACATATATAATACTGTTTTAAAATTTTTTTTGATATTAACTAGATATATATGTATAGGCAAGCTAGCATTTAACTTGTTGCATTTTTGTACATAAGAGATGTTATTTCTTTCACCATATATATAACTTTTCTGTATAATATTATTAATAAAGAAATAATATTTACTTATCAGGAAAAAAAATAAAATTATTTTTTCATTTTAAATAAATATTATATTTTATATAATTTTTTAACATTTTTTAGAAAAAAATACAAATAACAAAGTTTTTTACTAATATTCATCAATTTTAATAATAATAATAGTGCTAACAACAAGTAAAATACTACAATAATTATAAACTTTTTAAAAAAAGTAAATTTATTCAAAGTTCTTTGACAATAAGTATAGATGACACAGTAATTATATTTATTTTAAAAAATATTTTTAAAAATTCTAATAATTTTAATATACTGTATTTTAAAATAAAAATCAAATAATTAATAAGATTTAATAAAATATTTTAAATATTTATAAAATAACTTATTGTATTATTTATTGTTATATGATATATTTTAAATTAGAAATATAATTAAAAAGACTTATAAATTTTTAAAGATCTTTGAAAATTTTGAGTCAATATAATAAGATCTTTAATAAAAACATATTTCTTTAAAAATCTTTACTTAATTAAATTTAATAATAATATTATTATTAAATTATTAGTTTATTTAAAAAATGTTAATATAATTTAATTTTGTAAGCAAATTTGTTTATAAAAAATAGTAAATTTAAATATTAAACTAATATCAAAATGGTATTAAAGTAATATTGTTAGAAACTTTATATCAAATATTAAGAGTTTGATAAAAACTTTAACTTTAATTTGAAAAGAACTTCAATTGGTTCAATTGGTAGGTTAGAAAAAAAATCAATAAAGTATTTTTTGAGTTTGTCTTTAATAAGGATATATTCAAGAACAAAGGTTGGTTTTTTGATGAAGTAATTAATAAGATAAGTAAGGAGACTTAGTAAAAGATATTTTTAATATCATAGTGCATAAGTAAATAATAAAGTTTGTTTAAAGGCTGTTACTATAAAAGAAAATTTTTTTGTCAAAAATTGATTTATGGGAAAGAGTTTTTAATTTGTGTTTTATAAGATAAATTTTTTTTAACAAGTTTGATAAATAAATAAAAATTTATATAAAAAAAGCATATGTTTAATAATACTTATCTTATTGTTACAATATAACATACAATAAAAACAATATTATACAGTATATGTAAATTTCTTAAATATGACAAGAATCAACTGATTTGTCGTTTTTACTTCTTTAATATTAATAAGTTTTGATTTAAACAAATTATTATTTACTCTATATCCTTCTATATTTAGTCTAAAAATTCGCTATTTTTTTTTTTTTTTTTAAAAAAAACAAATAAATATACTATATATTATATTACTTTAAAAGTTTTTGAACATAATTTAAATATATAAGCGGTGTATTAAGAGAGCACTATATATTATATTACTTTAAAAGTTTTTGAACATAATTTAAATATATAAGCGGTGTATTAAGAGAGCTCTTAATACATGAATAAAATCTTACTAATAATCGTAAAACTATAAGCATAAAGTGACCTTATTTCCATTTAAATGAAATATACTTAGAATTGACACGAAAGCCAACATTTTGCATAACCTAATTTAGGGAATTAATACGAGTTAAGTAATTTCCTTTTTTACGTCCATAAACACGACGAACATCGAGATAGCTTTCATTATCCTCTAGCTCTTTGCCAAATACATTAACCATTTCATCATATTCTTCCGAAGTAACTCCTAAAATTGGCACCAATACAATTTTCATGTTGTTAAATCCATACTTGATATTGTCAATAGCCTAGATAGCAATTTGATAATTAGCAAAATTCTGGATGCTACCCTTTTTCAATAAAATTAAACATTGTTTATAATAATTTATAATGCCATTACCGCTTTTCCTAAATTTCCATCTTCTGTTTTAAAGAGCATCATATTTTTTTCTTCGTGAATATCTTCAAGTCGATCATTCTGTTCAAATCGTGAAAGTAACTTATCGCTTGGATTAATCTCAAGATTTCGAGTTGCTTGCATTTTATAAACTACATACATGTGTATTGTTAATATTTTTATATAATATATTTTTTTTAGAAATTGATTTATATATCTTACAGGCCTCGCATAGTTTAGTCGAAACAGGTCCGAAGTTATGACCAAGCATACTTATTTCTGATAACTATGAAATGAAGTTACAATTTTAATTAATAATAATGTAATTTTTAACCATGTTAACCAACACAGTACCTCCAAGTAACATCCGGGTTTTAGAACTCTAATTAACTCTGTGATAACATCAGGCCAACGATCCGAAGGAATCGCACCAATCATTAAACGTTGAAATACAAAATTAAAGGTGTTATCTTCAAAGGGCAATTCGTTCAAAACGTTTGCATTAATCACGGAAACGTTTCTAGGCTTAATCTCAGTAGGTTGAATAGGTGAAATATCGACTCCTGTTATTTCTGAATTTGGATAATCTGTTGCCATATCGAACATCCAAGAACCTGCACCACAACTTTCAATAAATACAGTACTGTAATTATTAATTTCGAACATATTTTTTATAAAATTATATATTTTATTATTATATCTTACCCAACATCAAGAATCTTTGAACCATCTATACTTAAGACGTGTTCTACCGGTGCAAAAAAATTACCCTTGTAGATGTGTCTAAATATAAAATGTTGTAAATGCAATCGATCCAATTCATCATAGTCGTTTGGAAGATAATATGCTGCACCCGTATCATTATGAAATCTCCTTCCTTCAATGTGTCGAAATTTAAACTGCGAGGTTGTTTGTTCTGTTGATGTCGATTTTTTCTTGCTTAGTTTTTTAGATACATTTCCCATATTGCTGGTTTTTATATCACGATGAATTCAACAGGTCATTAAGATATGAAATTTTGAATATTTATATGTATAGATGATATCAATGTTTCACAGATGTTAAAATACAAAATGTGATGGTTCTCAGTAGCCGTAAATTGTTTGAATACAAATAATCATGTATTTCGTTACTACTATATTTTAACTGGTTCCACATGTACATATTGTAATATTTCCTTCCAGGAATTACTTCTTAAATCCCTTTGTTTTACCGAGGTTGTGTTAACCTAGGTAGATGCGTGCTGACTATATTAAAAAAAAATCAACCACACTTTTGATTAAGGCATATAAAACTTGACTGTATTTTATTTATCAATCCAATAAAAAAATCTTTTATAATTTACCAGAAGATTTCTTCACCTTTTCACATGTTTTTGGCATTAATTATAAGTAATATTTATACGAATTTAAAGCTTATTACATCCTTCACACTTCGTATCGACATTGCTTAACGCCAACTTTTTATCGTGCGACTCACAATCTAAGAAAGAAACTTTTTCTAAAAAAAAAAGTATTAAAATATCCAAAATTATGAAAACGGGTTTATTTTTTGCCACATAAATATGTAAATCCTTACCGTATTGATGTATCATGCCGAATCGTAAAGTCACACCATTGTATTTCACCTAAATGAGGTAAACTTGAACCCGGGGTGGCGCCATTAATAAATCCTGTTATATTTTTGAATGGACAAGTTATTCGATCTTTGTAGACTGAAATGTTTATTGGACGACCCGTTAATTTGTACAGTATAGTTATCGATCTTTGTGTAACATTTTGGAATCCCGCTTTAGAAATATTTAATACGTGTTACTACCACATTTGGGCGAACCACAATTTGAAAGAAAAAAAAATAATAAATCCAAAAAATGCCTTCGATTATGCAGGGTCAAAGTTAAACAAAGTAATATATCCCTAAGACACATAAATATGGTTAGTCTATAAAGCGCATAAATATGGTTAGTCTATAAAGAATATACAATTTTGTATTTGTGTTTTTCTATGGGTTCTGAAATAATTAGTGCATTTATAAGAAATAACATAAGTGTAATCTTTTAAAAAAAATTTTTTTTATTTCTAATCAGATTGCAACAATGTGTATTTATTTATCTTTGATCAGAATACAATAATATAACAATAAAATTATTATATTATAACGAAGAATTTTTTCGTTTAATTACAGAATACACATTAACAAGTCTATGGAGTTGTATATGATTTTGAATTCTTAATATCAAAATTATCATGTAGCGTATATAATTTAACCATTTATTTCATTACAGAGAAATATGTTCATTAAATAATTATAGTGTGATATTAATCATGCAAGACTTTTCAAATTATTTCAACTCTAAATATAATTATAGAAAATAAAAAAAATTATTTTTTAAAAAAAAAACAACACACTGAAGTTTTTATAATTTGGTTTAAAAAATAATTATCAGTCTAGACTTTAGACTGTAATCTCCATATAATCATGATTTTAAATATATATAAAAAAAGCTTGAATTGTTATTTAAAATCATTGTTTTTATTTTATAATTTAAATAAATAATTATTATATTATAATAAATTGTATCTATGGATCTATAGTATAATAGTTAATGTTTCAAAATTAGAGTTCTGAACTGAATACTGAAATGGTACTAACTTGATATCAACTTATAATAAATTCAATATATAAGTTATAACTCATTATATTATACTAGTTGAAATTGATTTATTTAACATAATGTCACTTATCAATCATTTGTCAAAAAAATATATAATTTGGCTAATCAATCAAATTTATATAACTTTTATCTTTGGTTATAAAGCAGTATATAATTTATTCAGTATATAAATAATATACTTTTTTTTTAAATCTCATTTTGTCAAAAGTTAATATTTTAACAGTAAAATGAACAATTTATTTTTTGCACCAAATACAGTATGGTACAATAAAAATAACAATTATATTTTTAATTATAATTTAATAAATAATTATTAAAAATTTATGAAAATTTATAAATATATAATTAAATACCTTATAAACAATTTTCCCTAATATTGTTTTAATCAATATATATTTTTTAAATAATTTAATTTTTATAATAAAAAAATTTATAACAAATTTTTTTACTCTTTTTTATATATATAAAAGATGGTTGAAAATAGATAAAAAAAAATTGTTTTTTTTTTAAATTTGATTTTTTAATCAAAAAAATTTTATAAAAATATAAAAATATTATATATTATTTTTTTAATAAATTTATTAATTAAATTAAAAGTTATTTTAATCAAAAAAAATTTATAGAAATATAAATATATTATATATTATTTTTTTAATAAATTTATTAATTAAATTAAAAGTTATAATT